GAGGGGAGGGAGGGGAAGAGGGGAGAGAGGGGAAGAGGGGAGAGAGAGAGAGAGGAAGAGGAGAGAGGCGAAGGAGTCCAGGATAAGTCTAGCTCAAGTTGCCATTTTCTGAGAGAGGAAAACTGAGGGAAAAACTTTTTGAGGTCAGTTTTCAATATGTGAAGTTTGAAAAACCGATTAGAATCCCAGTAGAGATGCTACATAGCAGAGACAGCATGAATGGACTTCCCATCACAAGCACTGAAGGGTAAAAGCAGTCCTCTCAATCCACATAATGTAGGTCTGTGTGGCCTTTAAAAAGGCTGAGATCGATTTTATGGACTGACACAGAAGGTGTCCAAGATCTATTACTGCATGAAAAGATGCATAATTTTCGGGAAGACTATCTATTGCTTATAACTTAAAAACCTCTAGGGGTAGGATATATACTTCTGTGATGGTTAATTTTATGTGTCAACCTGATAAGGCCACAGTAACCAGATGTTAGGTCAAACATTGAGATGTTTCATTGAAGGTGTTTTTAGATGAGATGAACACTGAAGTCAGTAGACTCAGGGTAAAGCAGATCACCCTCCACAGTGGGGTTGGCCTCATCCAACCCGTTGAAGGCCTTAAAAGAAAAAGACAGATTTCTCCAAGCAAGGAACACTTCAGCCAGTGGACTGCCTTTGGGCTTGATCTGCAACTCTCCCCTGGGTCTCCAACCTGCTGATCTGCCCTGCAGATTTTGGCTTGCCGCAATGGCTTGGGCCAATTCCTTAAATCTCTCCATCTTTCCCTTTCTCTCTATACATACGCATACACCTTGTTGATTCTGTTTCTCTGGAGAACCTTGACTAATGCAACATCTTATGACATACATTTGAATTGTATTTAAAATTTCTTTACAATAAGTATGTATTACTTTACTAATCAGAAAAACAAGAATAGTCACAAGACTTAGTTCCAATACTTAAAATTTAGGCTACAATGACCACGTGCCTATACATATACTTTATGTACATAAATTATATACTCATCTTTATACATGTATAAACAATAAAGCATTCAGTAAACATACATTGTTATTAACATCCCTCCTATCTCAATGGCTGCAAAATCCCTACTTTTTTCATGCAAGCCACACACCTCTCTGTTTTTCTCACTAAACTCAGAGTTATCTGAAATGCCCAATATGAGTCCATATCCTGAACAAGGTACCCAAAGAACATGAACAGACATTTCACACATTAGAAATGGTATCCAGTGAATGAATACATGGAGACGTATGCAACTACAATAGCAATAAACAGAAAAATGGAAATTAAAACAATAAGGTACATTTTTAAACAAATTAGTTTGAAAATTATAGTAAATACCACTACTAATTATAAACTTTAAGTAATGTTATAATTAGGTGAGAGTGTGAATTGGTGTTCTAATGTATGATGGGTGATGTTCTAAAGACACATAAAATAACTGGCAACATAAGTAATAAACCACAAAACTATTTATGACTTTGAGTCTACTTGGGAGAAAATGTATCATGTATGTTTAAAAATATGGTATCCATATTTGAAACTAATTCCAGGCCAGGCATGGTGGCTCCCACCTGTAATCCCAGCACTGTGGAAGGCTGAGGTAGACGGATCACTCGAGGCCAGGAGTTCAAGACCAGCCTGGCCAACATGGTGAAACCCCATCTCTTGAAAAAAACATACAAAAATTAGTTGAGCATGGTGGCGTGCACCTGTAATCCTGGCTGCTCAGGTGAGGCACGAGAATTGCTTGAAACCAGGAGGTAGAGGTTGTAGTAAGCTGAGATTGTGCCACTGCACTCCAGTGTGGGCAACCAAGTGAGACTCTGTCTCAAAATAATAATAATTCCAAATACCAAAATAAAGTAAAATACACATGAAGTTGTTCCCTAGAATATTATTTGTAATGGCAAAAATAGTAGAGGTAATTTCAATACCTAGCAGTAATGAAACCAAGTTCAAACAACATGAGCTATAACTAGCTGGACATCTTTTTTTCTCTGTGAATTAACAGAATATATAAAGAATGATTTCCTACTTACCACTGTACCAAGAAACTGAATGTTCATGTTTCCACCTGCTTCTCGAGAAAGACACTAAAACAAAAAAGAGATATAAAATGAACTTTATCCACACAACTTGTATGCAATGTTCACAATAGCCAAAAAACCCAAATGTCCATCAACTGATGGATGGGTAAACAAAATACAGCATAGCCATACAGTTGGAATATTATTTGGCCATAAGAAGGAATGAAGTACTGATATAGGCTACAACAGAAGTTGGTCACAAAGGACCACGCGTTATATGATTCCACTTAATAAGGAAAGTCCAGAATGGTCAAATCCATGGAGAAGGAAAGCAGACTTCTAAGTGTCTCCAGGAGGAGGGCTGGGAGGACATGGAGATGATTGCTAATTGGCGTGGGATTTGTCAAGGGTTTAAACTCGGTCTAAAATTGACTGTGGTGATGGTGTGAACTGACTACAAACCACTAAACTGTAACTTTAAATGGGTGAATTGTATGGTGTGTGAATTATCTCTCAATAAAATGGCTATAAAAATGAATTAGCATTTGTTTAAAATAAGAATGCAATTCTTCTATGTCCAGAGAGTAGTGAAATAACCTCTTCATTATTCATTTATTTATAAATAAAATTTGTTTAAAGCAAATACATCACTTGCATGTATCTTACTTGTTTAAATTTTAATTAAAAGTAAATGCTATGATTGTTAAAATTTTAGTTAAATGTAAATACTACCACTACTAAAAATGGGTGACTAAGTAGTACAGTGGAAGCAGAATACACTTCGAGCTCATTCTTACCTATGAAACTGCTCTATTTAATCCTAACGTATTCCTCAGAATTCTTCCTCTTCTGTGCTATTCAGAGAGGGCTCAGTGACTTCAAAGACTTCACACACAAATAAAGCAGCTCTCACTAAGCCAACATGATTTTTTAAGTTATTAGTATTAGAGTATTAGTGGCTTTCACTCGACTACATGCCATGAGCATTAGGATACAGATATATCCTAATTTCATTCCTTTTTACAGAAGTGGAGGTTTACCAACTCTGATCTCTATGATCACGAAAATAACAGAACCCAGAATGAACCTCTAGAAATCAAGCTGAGTCCTTGGTTCCTTGACAAAAGGAGGTTAGATCAATAAGACAGACAGTGGTTTAATACAAAATGGTTTCCACTACCTGCAAATACTGCCAAATGAATTGACACAATGGTAATCTAACTAGCATAATCAAGGCAATGTGGTATAGAGTAGAAAAAAAAATCAGTATGACACCAATTTGACCCCTTTTTTTTTTTTTTTTTGAGACGTAGTTTTGCTCGTCGTCCAGGCTGGAGTGCGATGGCACTATCTCAGCTCACCACAACCTCTACCTCTCAGGTTCAAACAATTCTCCTGCCTCAGCCTCCTGAGTAGCTGGGATTACAGGCACCGGCCACCACGCCTGGCTAATTTTTATATTTTTAGTAGAGATGGGTTTTCACCATGGTCTCAAACTCCTGGCCTCAGGTGATCCACTCGCCTAGGCTCCCAAAGTGCTGGGATTACAGGTGTGAGCCACTGCACCTGGCCAACCCATTTCACTTCTAAGAATTTATCCTGAGGAAAAAACATAAGGGTATGCAGAAAAATAAAGCTGAACAAATATCACAGTGTAGTTTATAGAACTGAACAATGGCAAGCAATCTAAATGGCTGGAAAGACGCTGGTTAAGTAAATTATGGTATATATCCAACCTGCCATTTAAAAAGTTAAAAACATGAAAAATGCTTATAGTATATTCTAAGTGCAAGAAGAACAAAACAATATGTTCGGAACAAGTAAAAAAAATTATGTTATAGAAAAATATTCTAGAATTAGTGCACATAAAGCAACTATTATTTCTAGGCAAAAATATTAGTTGACTTTCTTTTTCACTTATCTGTTTTTCCTATTCTTTTATATGCACATGTTGAACTTAATAAAATGCAAAAAGAGACAGAAAACAAAACAAAACAGACTCCTTTCCTGTGTCTTAGGGAGATTTGATTAAGAACTGAGGGTCGATTCCTAGGTTTTGACACTGGTACTTCTATATTGGTCATCCATCCAATTATCCATCTATCTCTTAACTGTGTTGGGTACTGCTGGCTGAATTAAGACCCACCTTCCAGGAGACTAAACGAAAGACAGCAGAATTATTTGAAAAATAAGTATAATTCAGTACAATAAATGCATAGTACAAAATGTACAAAGAATTATGGGATAAGGGGATAGAGCGGCTAAAAGAGCAGAAAGGTTACAGAAGACATTAGACAGATTAAGACAGACAGGAAAGCTGGATATTTAAAAATGAGCAGGGGCCAGGTGTGGTGGGTCATGCTTGTAATCCCAGCACTTTGGGAGGCTAAGGTGGGTGGATCATTTGAGTTCAGGAGTTTGGGACCAGCTTGGCCAACATGGCGAAACCCCAACTCTGCTAAAAATATAAAAATTATCAGGGTATGGGGGTGGGTGCGTGTAGTCCCAGCTACTTGAGAGGCTGAGACAGGAGAATTGCCTGAACTTGAGAGGTGGAGGTTGCAGT